AAATAATGTGATTGTAATTAAATATAATAATTAATTAAATTATTCGCGTTACAACTTATAACAAGTTTATATTATTTTTATTCAAATAAGCAAAGTATTAATTATTTTTAAATTTTAAATATTAATTTTGTATTACATCTCGAACGATATTTCGTATTAAAAAGTTAAAATAATTTTTGTTTAATTAAAATGAGACCAAGTTCACGAGTATTTGTTAATATCAATATTTAATTTGGGAAAAGAGTAATATTGAGTTTTTTAAAATTAAAAAAAAGATAGAAAAGATATTGAAAATCGTGGGAGTTGAAGGTAAAATATACGAAGAAGTTTGAAATTGAATCGCCGTCGTAACTTTACGCGAGACGGAAAAATCCGTCGATATTACGAGCCAATAGCGTGGTCTAAAAATCTAATATATAAAAAGAGAGATCGAGAAAAGTCTTGATAGATTTGTCGCAGTCCTTTGGAAAACTTTCTCTCTCTCTCTCTAGGTTTAATAATTATATCTAAGTATACAAAAAAGTTTAAAAATTCTGTTCTTTTTTTTTTCAATATTTTAAAACGATTTGACACCGTTATACCAACGTATTTTTTTCTCCATCATATGTTTGCAAACTGTAAATAAAAAATATGTATATTGAAATGCGTGAAAAATCTTTATATACGTGTAAATCAATGTTTGTACTTTTTATTTTCGACTATTTAATCGAATAAATATTTCTATTTTTTTTTTGCTTTTTCTTCTTCCTCTTAAAAAAAAAAAACAATTCTTCTACAAAAAGAAAAGAAACAAAAATTATAATTTTATAATAAAATATAAATATAATATATTAAATATTTATTTAACGAATTACATCCATTAATGAATGTAATAATTCTAATAAGTAATATATTATACAATTATTATCGATTAAAACAAACGACTATCTTCAATGCACAAGACGTGACTTTAATTCAAGGAAAATTAGCAATCGAGTTAGAAGTGTACTTTGCAAATTGCAACTTTCTCAGAGAGAAGTTTCCTCTCTCTCTCTGTTTTCAAAGTACTTGGAAACTCAAGGGTAAGAAAGTACTATATACCGAAGTGCAACATAGTAAGCTGTACAACTACTATTTCCCATATACCTATATATTGTACATATGTACATATAGCATAAAACGAAAAGGACTTTTGAGTTTACCTGCATCTTCACTCGATCCCGTTTTTCCTTTAAGGCACTTCAATCCTGTCGAATCGATTTGAATTTATTTTCTCTCTTTTTCTATTTAAACCTCCAAATCACTTAGGATCCTAACCAACACATACATGTATGTGTCATCCTATAGATATCATCAAATTTGGATTATCTCTCATTGTCAGAATGATTAAACGATGAAAAGGCTAGGAAATGTATTAAAGCAACCCTAACATCTACTCACTCACCCATTCATACATACATACATACATATACACACACACACATATATATATATATATATATATAGGATCCCAGTGCGTTAAATTCACGTATTAGGAAATTCGATATATTCCAGTAAGAGTAACGTAGAATCGACGATAATTTACGAGCCTGTATTAGCCATACACGCAAACATACGTACACACATATCTCTAGAGTTATGTGGTTTCTCTATACATGTGTGCATTTAAAGCCGAGCTAACCATACTACTTCGAATTCCATTGGAATTATTTTAGAGAAATTACCAACTGTTCCCCAATATATATATATACACACACACGCAACATACCTAAACCTACATATATATCCAATACACGTAATTATTGATCATATATGGTAAAGTTTAGGATGATCAAAACCTAGTTCGAATTTCTTGTTATACACGAAATATTCATATAATCGATGTGATATGCGATCGCTATTCAACGGGGGCCAGGAATCAATTATCCATTTTCTATTAGTGCAAGTTCTAGGCTTGCTCGTTCGTCTTGCTGTCGGTATACTACGCCTTTCATTCTCTTTCTCCCTTGCTCCTTTCACATTCACTTCCATTCTCTCTTCCTATCTCTTATCTTGCCTGCTTTAAGCTTACTTTGGTATTCCAAGGTCACACCAACAAGATATAGGACCTAATGGCATATCTTATCGAGATTCGAATATCTCTCTCTCTCTCTTTCTCTCTATCTTTATCTTTCTGTCATCCTATCCCGTTCCCCCTACTCAATTCCCTTCATCTGCTTTCTCTCTTATTCTGAGACTACAATTTACTGGTACTATCTTTGGGTAGTAAACGGTAATAAGTATCAGCTGTTACTCGGGCTAATCTCTCGTCACTTTCGTGATAGTTCAAACGAATATTTTCTACTATACTAATACTAACGTATATACGTAATAAGGAATTATGAAAATGTATTAATATAAGTCTTATGTTTAATATTATAAAAATATAATTGTTTTAATAATATTATAATATAGAAATGTGTGATGGTTTTAATATAAAATAAATGATATAAAATTAGTTGAGAATATTATTTCATTTGTATCACTTTCATAATTATTTTTTATTTTTGATATGTACATACATTTATTTTATGATTTATTTTATATTAAAATTTATTTTAATATAGCAAAAAAGTAAATGATAAAATTACCTCTTTTTGTTTTGTTTTTTTTTTTCTATTTTTAGTCCTCCACTTATAGAACACTTTCATAATTAACGGCGCGGCGCGTCTGTTTAACCCTTTCACTACTACGGGTGACTATAGTCACCCGCCACAAAACGACACCCGCACACGACGGGTGACTATAGTCACCCGCCACAAAACGACACCCGCACACGACGGGTGACTATAGTCACCCGTCACACGATGCCACCTATACGCGACGGGTGACTATAGTCATAGACTATAGTCACATAATTATGAACACAAATCATTTTGTTTCTAAAAGTAATGTCACAAAGTCGTTTTTGAGACAAAAGGCTCCGAATGCTAAAGACTGCGCGAGCTTAATGTTCCCACTTTCGGTACGGCGCTCCGTTCTAGACGAGGTACTTCGCGGCGAGGCCTACCGTAGCGAAAGGGTTAAAGAAGACGAATCTTGTCTGATTAAATTGAATTTATGCGAGAAGGAAGGTAAAAATAAACCGAAATAAAAGAAAATTGTAACTACCGGATCTTCTTATCTGTATACTTACATGACGCGACATGCATGACTTTCAAGTTACACTTCTTCCCGTATATTATTTGACTGTCTTATTTGATAAAAGTACGCATGACAGAATTTATTTTTACTCGTTTATTTATTTATTTATTTGTTTAATTATTTATTTTATCCTTGAGTTTGATTTATTTTATTTTTTTTTTCGTTCAATTTTTCTTTATTTCATTTTTTTAATATTTTTCTTTTCTTCTATTTCTTTTTTTTTCAGCAATGATACATCTTGAAAAATGGAGCTTATTGTTAAAGTATGTTTTTAAGTAGGCGTTGAATTTGTTTTTTTCTTCGTTATTATTAATAATTAGGTATAGTTACTGCACCTCGTATATTATACGCGATGATTTAGGCACTTTTGAACGTACATGCACACACAATATATATATGTATACATATATATATATAATGTGAAATTACTATAGTCACTGATCACGCTCGTACGATAAATCATCATCATTCTATTGTCCTTCTTTATCGTTTCTCGTTAACTTATACAGTCTCTCTCTTTTTCTATTTTTTTTTCTCTCTCTCACTCTCACTCGCACTCTCATTCTACTCTCTCACTCTTTTTCTCACTTTATTTATTTTTTTTTCCTTTTTATTTTTATTCTTTTTATCGTAGGAAAAAAAGGAAGAATATAGGAATGTTCACACGTTTCACAATAGACAAGTCACTCTCCTTTAACATAGTGAATCGCAATTTTGTTCGCATTACGCCATTTTTAAAGCCACTTTAGGCTTTATTCTTTTTTTCTTTTTTATTTCTAGCACCTTTCTAGCATTCCTTGTTACGTTGAATGCTCAATCGAAACTTTTCTATACACTTGTTTCGCTCACGTTCTAAGTCGAATCTAGGCCATACCATCATACATGCATGCATACACACATATACATACGTACGTATGTACTTACTTTCATGCATTATGTATATATATATATATTTATGTACATATATATATATACTATAAGGAAAAAAAATTAAACATCCGTTCCTTCGACGTACAATGATGAATTTCGATACTCGATTTCCGAAAAATGTGTATTCTTTAATTTTTTATTTTTATTTTAAATGTATTTACGTAGATTTCAAAAGCGTAGCGTTTATCACAGAAGGCAGCTGTAGCTGTGGGACGATTGCGATCATAGACGGTAGAGTTTGCCTCGTAGATTATGAAAAATAATAAAATACAAATAAAAAAATAGAGAAGAGATTTAAAAGAAAAATAAAAGATCTAAAAAATATGTGGTGTGCATATCTAATTGTAAGTATTTGTCATTCCAAATGTACATACGAGTCTATTACTTGAAACGTTTTTTATTTTTACGAAGGATTCGATATTTTTAGAATCGATTATTTTCTCTGATTTTTTGTTGTCTCTTCATTTGATATTATTATTATGATAAAGTAAACACACGTTGTTTCAGAAATGTGTATTAGAGTTAAGAGCGTTGAACAATATTTTGTTTTTTTTATTATTGATTTAATTTTTAATGAATTATTTGTAAGAGAATTAATGTATCGGTAAGTAAATTATTTCATTATTAGATAATATTTAATGGTAAAGATTTAATCATTGACAAATTAATTTAAATGTTACATGAGATGAGTAATGATTTGATGGAATAATTTGTCAATGATTTACTAAAGCATAGTAATTTTTATTACGACAAGAACATTAATTTTGAAAATGAACTAATAATAATATTAATCAATTATATTTGATAAGACATAATTGTGATTGGTGTAAATAAAAAATTGAATTTTGTTCGTATTAAATAAAATATTGCTCGAACGCTGTAAGATGTCGCAATGATATATTTTGTAGTTTTTTTTTTTCATGAAGAAAATCAGGGCAATTATGAATATCGAATTTCACTCGTACTTTAAATATCACTCGAATCCATTTCAGCCCTTATTCGTTGTATCGTAAGAAATAGCAATTTTAACATCGAGACATTATTTCATCGATATCATGAAAAATTGCGATTACTCGATCGAATGTATTTCATGAAACGAAAGTTATAATGATTATGACAATGATTAATCTCTAATAAATCTAAGGAGTTTTCTAACGATTATAATTAAGGGAACTAGAGAATGTGGATTATTGAGATGTCGATGGTGAGATTTTGTAAAACAATGGAACCCCATACAAGTGTATGTTAATTCGAGAAAGTCCTTATTGTAATAGGCCACTTCTGTCATAACTGACAGATCTAAAGGCATCTTCAACGAGATCAGTGAGACATCTCACTGCTTGTAAAAGTGCTGCCAATAACAGAGACAAGGACAATGATATTAACTTGCTTGGGACCAAAGCATTGTCCGATGTACTTTGCGATCTACCCGTAACCTTTTTTCTTTTTTTCTTTTCACAATTTTTACCACCAGCTGAATCCTTCTCGTGAATTCTTTCCATAGACGAAGAAATCCTTTTTGAGGATCTGCTAGGTGATCTATCACGAGAACGTGATCTTTCTCTGTCAATTGATTCCGTAGATGTTTTTGTTGTTTTTCTATGATAATCCAAAGTGGAAATAGTTGATCTACGATGTGACACCATGCTTTCAATCTTCTTACGAAAATCTTCGGTTTTCTCGTCAAAACCGATAAGACGATTTTCGTTGGAAGATCTTCTTTTTCTTCTTTCTTTATTCTTCTTTCCTTGTTCACCTCTACCGGAAGATGACGACCTGTCACGACGAGTTTGCAAAGTACCATCGGATTTGGCCTTGTCCGAGGATTTCAATAATCGATTACTTTTATGCTCGAAGAATATATTTTGCAACGAAGTTTTCGTATACTTATCTGTAACTTCTGTATCCTTGAAAGATGAATTTTCATCGAGCGAATTAGTCCTGGTGTGACACTTGTCCTGACAATGAATTTTCTTTTCCAAACAGGAATTATTTAAATTATAATCGACCGTAGGATCTTCCGGTTCTGACCAACACAGTCTAATATTTTCTTTATTTTCGTCAATGACTGTACGTCTAGATGGTGTCTTTCCTAAACTGTTTAGAACAAAATTGACAGCTTTGGATGTATCAATTGGTACATTTGATTCGACGGTTTCGTTTTTGAGATCAACGTTTTCGTTGACCCAATCGTTACTCGTTTGATCGTCGATTGATTTAGGAGGATTGTTTTCGTCTTGATTAGCAGTGTCCGATGATTCTTCATTCGAACCACCATTGAAAGGATAAGGATTTGCGTCACCGTCTTCGTCGTCGTCATCCTTGATTGTTAATTTTTCTTCGACCCAGGCTTCTTCTTCTTCATCTTCGTCCTCTTCTTCATCCTCGTCTTCATCTTCCTCAGATTCCAGAGACAACGATTTGTTTCTTTTTATAACCGGTACGATGCTATCGGCATAAAGAAGATCCTGCATCTCATATAAACTTCTCTCGATACTTGGACTCTTGTAAAGAAGATTTCTTAATTCGGGTAAATCTAAATCTTGAACGTGAAGTAAATTTTGTTCAATGTTCAATAAACTCTCTTCTATTTGTACCAGACATTGTTCTATGTCACAAGTAGCGTCTTCCGACTTGTTATCTAATTTGTTCGATATAGGAGAATTCGTTGATTTTTCGTTTTTATCTTCAACTTCGTTAGTAGAGTCTTGATTTTTGTCTAATTTATCTTTCCACGACTCATTAGACTGTATATCCTGATGTTGAGTTTGGCTATCATAAAACACACGATAATTACTATGACTGTTAGCTATTTCGTAATTAATAAGGTCAACTTTAGGATTTCTCAACGAAAGATGTTCTGATTCTAATCTCTCGCTACAAGTACGTCCTCTAATACCCAACATATTTTTATCCCCATGACTATTCGCTATGGCGTATTCCCCGTCTTCCTGATGATGACAACGACGACGACGACGATCTTCAGCTTCCTTTTTAGCTGAAATTTCGGTATATAATCTTGAATATTCGTTATGACTGCTTGACTCTTGGTAAGCATTGCCATGGCTGTTAGCAAGTGGATAAATGGTTGAATCATCATGATCAGAATCAACCTGTCTGATCCAAGGTAGTTTAGCTAGTATACTCAACTTATAATTACTGTGACTACCAGCCTCATCGTCGAGGTCTACGTCATTGTCGCAATCAGGAAAGTTTTTTTCTTCATGTATTACTGCCGATTCAACGCAACCGTCATCGATTAGTATATAACTGTCAAGGACGTTCTCGTCCAAGTCGATCCACCGATGAGAATCGTTTTCTTGAGTTTCATTACTTTTTTCTTCACGTTCTTTTCCTTTTTCCAATCCTTGACGACGACGTTCTCTGATTGCTGAATCATGCACGTGTATTTGTACCGGGCAGAGGTCATCGGTTCTTCTCTCGTTAGGTGGTGTCGTTGCTATTAATGGTGCGACATCATCCAATAACGCATCCCTGTTTTCTCTGTATCGATATCCAGGGCAAGGTGTATCAACTGGCGAATGAGAAAGCAGGTTTACATATACACCGGTACCTCTGCCATTATGGGATCAGGTGATTGTTGGACTATCTTGATCTTGGTACAATGGAGAAGTTTGACTTTCGTTCAAAACCTCGTTGCTTGATCTTGATCGATTGAAGTTGCATACGATCTGAAACGATGTGTTAACTTTATGAGCCATCAAATACGTTTTTATTGAATTTTTTTGGATCACTTTAGCCGAGTGAGATTCAACACTGATTATTGATAGGATTAATATCATTTATTGAATACTCACTCGACTATGATTTATTTTTGTAATTAATTAAATCGTTTAATTTTTATGAGGTATCACCTTTGGATGGCTCATCCTAATGTCACGAAATTCATCGGTGAACGTCAAAATGTAGAAACAGAATGCGATTGCACAAATCCATTCTGTTACAGTACTTGTAACGTGAAGTTCCCAACCACCGTCAGCTTTGTACCATTTCTGAGGATTAGTACCTACAACGAGGTAATTCATTATCAAAGAGGATTTATTCATTATGATTTACTATTGTCATTGAATTCATACTATTCACATCAACAAATTTGATAAATGTTTTAAGCTGACCTTTATATGCCAGACTTGCTAAAACTCCGGTGATGAATATGACGAAGAAGCAGACCGTGCAAAATGTTGATAAAGCTGTTCGTAGATGGGCCATTCTTAATGAACATCCCAGTGGATGTAAGTAGAATGAACAAACAGCCTAATAAATGAATAAAAATAATTAAAGGATTTATTATTACAAATATTAATGCATATTTAAATATATATGAGATTTTGTATAGAATAATTTAATATACTAATTTGAATTACTTTTATTACCTGTGTCCAAAAATATGCGGTGCCACCACCGAAACATAAAAATGCACCAATCATGTGTACCACAATGACCGATGTTTCTTGAAAGTTAGCTACAATTGAGACACCTAGGGTAGTCGTTAGGCCAAGAATCAAGGCCCAATAATTCCATCTTGGTAAAGATGCTTGTAAACGAAATGCGCTGGTACATTCTTTCACTTGAGAATATCTTATGTAGATGACGAAACACACTGTGAAAGTAAATCAGGGCGAATGATAAAATCCGTTTGATAATACAATCTAAACGGTTTTTTATTTCTTCTTACTACGACAAATACATACGTACTATACTTTCGAAGTCTAGATATGTGGTTTACTTACTGAGCGCAGCGATCATGTTCATAAATTGAGCGAATATACAACTTTCTGGTGCTAAGGTTGCCACATCTGAGATGTAAGGAAATCCTGCTTCTACGTGATCCGATAATACAGCTATGATATACCTAGAAATAAAATATATCTTGTTACTTTTTCTGTTTACTCTGCCGTTGAACTAAACTTCATGGGAATTGGTTTTGTTTTTATTTGATAATCTACTGAGAAGGTATTAATTTACCTTTTCTTTATTCTATACACATTCTTTTTATAAAATAAAATAATTTCTTTTTTTATACACAAAATTATGCCACAAAAAATATAGTAGTAATCAAATAATAAATAATTATTCTTAACATTTATTTAATAAAATTAATTATTTATAATAATATTGAAATAAATAAATATTTCATATATTTATATTTCGATATATATAAATTAATAATTTTTATATACGGGATAAAATTATGTTATGAAAAAATAAAGTAATATTAAATTAATTAAATATTCCTTTAACTCATTCAATAAGAAAACCAAATTAATTTAAAATGAAAATCGAAGAAAATTCACTTTGATCCTTAATTAAATTCCTATTATTATATAATAAAATATTAAAAATAATTAACTCACGTGATTATGAATACCGAAGGCAGGGAAACGAATAGTATGATAGGTAAATAATGAAGATTAACCAGGATATCGTTTTTATCCATGATTATCAACGTATCGGTCCACCACAATTATTCGTCGATTCTTTTTTTCTTATCTACAACCTTGAACGTTGACGATCACCGTAATTTTCTTGGAGTATCTTTCGTCGATTCGTGCGCTGAAAATGCGCTAGTTCACGACGAGATAAGATCATTCGTGCTTTTTCCTTTACCCCCACCACCTTCCTCTTTTCACTTCTCTTCACCGGTAGACTTGTTTTTATAGTGATCATTCAACTCGTTTGACGATCTCGACCAATGATCATAACGCCAATCTTTACTGCCATTTCCTATTTTCCTTTTTTTCTCCTTTTTTTTTTCACATAAAACAAATACAAGTAATTATGTTAATGTTTAGCACGTTAATTAATTAATTGAGATTTTTTTAAATAATTGATATTGAAATATGAATGAGATAAAAATATTTCTAACGTTAAATTTGTGTTTATAGAAAAGTATAAGTGTTGCATAATTTTAAATATAATAGTTTCAACTTACTTTGAGATTATGACTTAACAGTTTCTAAGCCTGTTTCTTAAGCCAGTAATAATCTTGTCATTTCCGTTAAGTATACTGAACGATCATGTTGAAATTATGGAGGAATAAATTGGATTGTTGAAAAGACGTTGCATCAATTCCAACAGCTTATACTTTCACATTATCTATCTACCATCTGTAAACACATAAATAATAGATAAGCGTATAAATCAATATACATACTATGTTAGTTCAACTTTGATTTCAAGTGTATGGTAATGTGAGTTACACATTTAAGAAAAAAATAAAATAATCATCGCACGTTACCTGTTTTGTAATTTGTTTCACGTAGAACAATAATTAAATTAGTAACTAAAAAACATTAGAATTTTATATTTTTGGTTTATTATGCAATACATCTGCTCAATATCCAATCAATTTTTGCTGTACTTTAAATTAATCTTAATTGAATCTTTAATCTTTTTTTTATAATATACTAATTTATTTAACCACAAAATATAGCAATATTATTAAAATAAATAAATAAATCAATTTATAATAAAAAAATATATATATAACCTTAACATTAAAAAAATTACTTATTTTTTAATTTAAATATAATCGAAAATCGTATTTATCAAATATCCATTTTTACGTATTAAAAATTTACGTGTGTTAAATATTGTACCTTCCTGCAAAATCCATACATTTCTTTTTTTTTTTTATGTCATATGTATACGAATACGTCTGCTTTTAAAACGTAGCACGTATCGCGTAAAATAAAGAGAGACAGGTGGATGATACATGTATATAGGTATATAGATATTAAAAAGAAAAAAAGGGAAGTAAATTTGTGTGAGTGAGAGACGTCGTTTTATACCCTTCGACGTCATCCCCCACGTAGCCATCGACCCTCTCACTCAACCATATATACTTTATCGTATTACCGCGCTTTCTGGGATTCCTAACTGTCTCGTCATAACACATGAGTGCACCTATACATACATATATATTTATGTATATATGGGAAACATACGTATACCATACAATTATTTGAAAACTTTACTAATCGATGATGGCTCCTACACGTGCGCCTGCGATTATCACGAGATTTAACTACATTTATACGTATATATATACATATATATTTATATAAAGGTTGTGAATATGTAGCTATATGTGTGGGCGCGTGTATGTATATATATATATATATATGTACAAGAGAGGAAATAATTCATCAACAAACTGCAGTGCAGGAAACGTGCAATTTTTCACACGGGGGCGTTGGCCAGATACCATGGACAATATTTCAAAATATCCTTTGGGAAAAAGGCCACGAGGTTTTTCTCACTCGTTACATCCCCCGTCATTTTACTACTATTTATTAAATAATAAAAAGAAAAAGAAGAAAAGGTTAAAAATAACAATTACTAACAATTAACGCGAGTAAAACGTAATAGAAATGAAATTTGAGAAGCAAGTATTTATAAAAAAAAATTGTATTATTATACATGTACCTTGAAAAACAGGGATTGCAGTTGATATATTCAGAATAACGTTCGTACTTCATTGACATATGTAAACCACACTGTGTTTCACTATTGCAGGTAAAATATTTCCGATGATGATCGAATACCACACAAAAAAAAACAAAAAAAAATTAAACGGGGTAGGGATTGGACAAGAGGGTTGAAGGAATAGTTAGTGAACTTTTCTCTCTCACTATCTCTCTCTCTTCCTGTCACTTTTAATAATAATCGCGAGTACTTGGGATGACAACAATAATTTTGTTCACAAAGACGTATTTTTCGATTCAATTAAGAGGTTTGCTCGAAGTGCTGTTGGATGGGGGTTTTTTTTTCCTTATTTTGTTTATTTTTTGTTGAAAAATATTTAAGGAACAAAAAGGATAGGCGAGATCGCGCTCGTGTGACGTGTGTGCTTGTTCGAAACAGCACTGAGGTTATGGGCGTCCAAGCGATCGATGATGCGTCGGAGAAGGAAAAGGGCCGCACGTATAGCAGCTGCGCCACTGATGTGAGAGCGAGGAAAACAAACGTAGTTTCAATGCTGTTGTCAATGCTGTTGTCAATGCCGTTGCCAATGCCGTTGTGCGATGACGTTTAAAACCCCCTATACATCTTTGTATTCGTTGGTATCGCATTTTTTAAATGGGGATTTTGTTGAAGTGAAAATTTCTTAACAATCCGAGGTGATTTGTTTATTTTTTTTATTTTTTTTACACACGACACCAAATCTACGATTTCTCCTATTTTGAGATATCACCTTTCTAACTTTCTTTTGTTTTCTTTCGCTTACTATGCAGTTATTAATCGAGTATCGAGTGAAAGATATTGTAATCGAAGATCTACTGCATTTCGCAACTTCTATCAATTTCATTTTCTTATTATTATTTGATTTCACGTTTCGTGTCGTTGAGTTTAAATATTTTCTTCAGTTCGTTTTAGTAAATTTAATATTTAAATTGAATCGTTTGAAATTTAATATCTTTAATAATTTTAACCCTTTGACTGCTAAAGGCGTATATATACGCTCTCACAAATCCATCAATATATTCGAAAGGCGTATAAATACGCTCTCACAAATCCATCAATATAATCGAAAGGCGTAAATATACGTCCTCTGTATTTTTTTACTATCACATCTTTATTGCTGTTTTACAGATTAATTTTACATGGAATTTATTGATATGTAACATAGTAACTAAATTACTTTTAAAAAATTTTTTTTAAAATTCATATTTTTATTTTATTTGCCACTATTATCTGTTTTGATTAGCTGTCAATAGAAAAACAGTCGTAGCGACTGACATGCGAAAATCTTTTGTATTTCGGTATATCGTATTAAAGAGAAAAAATACATTTTTATTTATTTTTTCATTCTTTTATAAATTATTGCACGTCGTTCGATTCTTAATTAACTATTATCAAACAATGTGTACGGATTAAATTTGTTCTATTTCAATGCTTATTCTTGTGACTACATTTGGACGTTATTTTTTTTTGTATGAGACAAATATATAACGTATGAAGTTTATTATCATATTCTTATCCGGTTATGTTCAGAAAAGGCAAACACTACCGGTGAGAACTTCCGTTCTGCGGTAAATATTTCTGTTTCAAACTGAACGTATGTTGAGTTTTATTTTAATATATTAATATCTCATTGTTAATGTTGCGAAACTCGTTCGATGTGTAACGATTTGTTTTTGTAAATTTTATCAATCATTTATTCTTTAAATCTATGCTTAATATATTAATTGCATTGTTAGTTAAAAGTATATAGAAATAATTTTATATTGATTTATCCACCAAAAACTATCAAAATCAATCAAAAGTATTGTTTAAAGTAAATAATGATCATTATTATTTATCTGTGAATAATATTTTATTTATTTTAAATTAACGTCGAATTAAAATAAATAAATAAAACAAATTGAAATGAAAATTATTTTGCACTCGCATAACAAATGTCATCAATGACAATACATTTTGAACAATTTTAATTGAAATTGATTTACACATTCATTGTCAATAATTTTAATGTTAATTATTTTATTTTGTTATTATAATTAAATCGATTATTATTGAAGAACAGTCGTGTCTTGTACGATTTCAGAATTTAATTCCTTCATTTTTTTCTGGTCTAAATAAGTTATCTGTCAACATAATTGATTTTATTGATAATAATTCTAATGAATAATAGCTTAATTATTTAAATTAAACATTTACCTTAATACCAGGCATTTCGAAACGTATCGCATGAAATTCATAAATTAAAGAAACCATAAATATACTGAAAAATAATGAATGTCCCCATTCTCCTATAACACTTAAAACGTACATCAACCAACCACCATCATTTCGGCCCCAATTTCTCTTATCTGAACCTATAAAAAAAGAATAATATTTCTATAGATCGAGTAATGCATAATAATACAGATTTTTTAAACAATTATTTGTAAACCTTCGAATTGTAGTACCGCAATTTGACCAGGTATTAAAAACATAAGCAGACATATTGACAATATTACGTTTAAGGTAACTCGTATGTAATAAATGTAAATATCGGAAACAGTACCGATCATTTTTTTGGTAAACTTGGTCTGTAAAAAGATAAAAAGAAGATAATAAGAAGAAAAAAAACATGATAATTGATGCTACTCTTATAATGCGATAATTTTATTGTTTCTTTTGTGTGTTTAGTATTTTTTATTTCAGTAAGCAATTAAAATAACAACTACTGTAAAATACTCTAAAGATAAATATTTTTCGTTTTCAAAAAACTAAGGAAATATATCTTTATAAGTCGAATTTAATTTAAAGTAAAATTTGTTTGTGAAGTTTAAAAAAAAAAAAATAACTAAATTCAAAGTAATAATTTAAATAAATTTAAAAATAATATTTATTGAAAATACAAATGAACACATATACTAACCTGAATAATGCAATACCAGGTGACACTAAATAAATATAAAGCTACACCGATTGTGTGTATTATATTTGTGATTCCATATACCGGATAATTTCCAATTACATTTATACTTATCGCTATAAGTGTACTACAGATATTAGACAAATGTTTTAGATTTTTATCAATTATATTTTCTCCTCTATCTCGAATAAATTGAACTAATATCAGATGTCTCAGATATAAACCAAGACCCCCTTATAATAAGTAAGAATATAAGATTACTTTAGTTGAATTAAAATATTTGTATCTTACAGATATAAAACTTACCAAAAAAGGAGATCAAGTTCAGACATTGAGAGAAAATACTTATCTCAGGATAATAATAAACCGTTTCAGATATGTATACGAAGTTTAATTTTGCGTGATCCAAGTATATTGAAAATAATAATCTATAATATAAATTAATATTTATTAATTTTTGTATATCATAAATTTTTTCTTTATATTATAATAATATATCGTGTGTAATACATATATAATATTAATTATAATATGTTATAATTATTAATTATAATCTATTCATACGATATATCAACCCACGTAATATATTTTTAATAGATTCGACTTACGGAAAGAAAATTCCAATGACAGTTAAGATGAATATATTAATATATAAAATTTTCAATATAGTTTTATTCATCGTAGTATTATTGTTTCTCCGAACGCTAGAAAATACGTTAAAATATGATAAAGATAAGAAAGAAAAAAATGAAATATAAAAATAAAAACGAAATAAACAGTTTATAAAATTAGATTTATATAAAAAAAGTAAAATCGCAAAGATAAAATTTGTAAAAATGATCATACCTTGAGGTATTGTTTGAATCGATAATATCCATTTTTTCTTCTTGCAAGAAACACTTGTCCATGGACTCCTTACAACGGTTCTTTAATGTCTGAATTTTCTGATTAATAGAAGTACTAATTTTACCTATTGTACATAGATCGGAGTTATGATTATTAATGGATGATGTGTACTGATGATTGTTCATATTAGTTTCTTTGATGCCTTTGAATTTCCTTCTTTGTTTAAGTGTGGGTGATAAATTTGACGTTTCCATCGTTATACTCGTGGATTCGTAATACTTTTTCTTCTTATTTATATTTTTCTTTGAATACTTTCGAGGTTAACAGGGAACCTAATTATTAAAACGCCTTCTATGTAATACGAGAAAGTTAAAATTTCAATATTCAACCGTCTTCTCTTAAAAATGAACTAATTCACATGATGAAAACTTTGTTTTATTACGTTTAACACATGATCAATTACGGCAAAAACACATTTAATTGTTTATAACCGATTGTTTAAATTTTTCGAATCTTTACATTAACGTTATTTTTGGTTCAATTATTTCTATTAACATTTTTGGTATATCGTGTTGTTAATGTCTAGCTTGCAAAAATGTTAATATGGAAAGAAATGCTTCTGTTATTTTAAAATACTATGGCGTATAACATTTGTTTCCAAGGTCATATAAAAATATTCTCGTTTAGCATTATTATGATAATATTCAACTTATTTATGTTGTCAAACATCTATTTAACTTATCTCTAAATAATTGTTAGGTAATAAACATTGAAAAGTATAGACAATAACATATAATGTGATACTTACTTTGTCCTTTTATTCGTATTATTTTTGTATATTTTTTTTGTGACATATAAATTTGTAATAAAATTTTTGCAATTTCTTTGGATGATGTTTCTGTTTTTCTTTTTTGTATATATTTTATTTTTAAGTACAATGAAATATTTTTACAATGTCTAATTAATATATTTTATTTTTTCTTTTTAAATTATTTCGCATGACAATTCTTCGACATATTTTATTATAAAAAAGAAATCAAATAGGAATAGAGTTTAAGGTTTATGTAAAATACCAAAATCATTTTTATGGAAATTCTGTAGACGACGAATATTGTTATCAAGGGGGTAAATTTAAGTCTTATGTTTTACATTTTATCGATAGATGACGCTAGAAGTTTTATCGACAATCGAAACTCATTCGAAAATTTAGATAATGTTGTAAAACTTTTTTTTTTTTACAAATTTAGAAATAATTAAAATAATTCTTATTTTCATTACAAACAGAAACAATTATTTAATTAACAATTTTGTAAAGATGATCTCAAGATAACCTAAAAATTTATGAATAATTTTCCTTGTAATTGTTTACATCGTAAGCGTATTTCAAGAAACTGAATAAATTTTTAGCTTAATCACCCTGCATACACATAATGTTATATAATTTCTTTACATATAATGTTATATAATTTTTTTTATTCTATATTTATTTAGTTGTTTTCAATCATGAAATCCTATACGATTTAAACAACTTTGGACACTAAATTGTACTCAAGTACATACATAATTGTTCACATAAATGGCACCTATATTTTTATATATATTTAATATAATATATGTATGTATATATATATATTTACACTATAATTATAAATATAATATATCGATAAATCGATAATATATCGATAATATCGCGATAAATAAATAGGTAGGTATTATTATTATCTCTGAATTGTTCAATTCTATTTGTTGGCGAACGTGCAAGTTACATTTTGCTAAATAATATGTTATATTAGATTATTCGGAAAGTAATTTCATTTTTTCAATGGTAACGAAAAAACGATATTTTTTTTTTCAAATTTAAAATCCAAGGCATTTTAAATAATCGTGGACGGTAGAATTTGATAAATTCAATTTATCCGAATAAAATTTCGAAAAGCTATTTTTTAACACTAGCGTTCACTTAAAATATCCTCTCTTTGTAAATAGTATAAAATTTTATTCTCCTTCAGAAATCATTATTATTCTTACGGTAATGTAAAAGCAAAATATATTACGTTAATGATGACTTAGATTTTGTATTTTTAATGTGATGGTAAAAACAAAGTACTTGACGTATCGAAACACAAGAAGGTTAATTTTTTTATTTTTGAAGTATCTGTTGCTTAAAAATAAAATGATTTTGAAATTTATCGTTTGGTTGGATCTAATAAGAATTCAATTTGAAAAACGAAATTATTATTATTAGAATGATCCAATATTAATATAATCACGTTTTATTACAGATAACACATTATTATCAATATTATTATATTTTTATTTATATTTTAGTAATATTATAATCGCGTAGATCATTCGATCGCGTAGACTAGTTTGAAAATCTTTAGCTAGCGTGCCTACGTATTAAAAAGCGCTATTTTCTATTTTAATAAATATCAGTTTTCAAAAATTCTTCCTTCAATCATTTCCAAAAACTGAAATTACATATTTTTAATATACGTCGATAGTAGTCGTGTTATTTTTCTTTATTTTTTTTTTTATTTTCTTTCATTTTTTTTTTGAATCCATGATGGACGGAGCGTGTTTTCGTGGTTCCTCTCGTCGATAATCTCAACATTATTGTCCTTTTTTAAATTACGGTGCTAATCTCCCATCGTAGAGAATCGATATTTTTTGACGAGCACTTTATTAAATTTATTTTTTTTTCTTTTTATATTTTTTCTTAACATTAAATTTAAAGAACGTAAAAGTGTTCTAAAAAAAAAAAACGAAACAAAGATACCAAGAAAAAGAAGCCATTATCAAATTATCGTGTAGTTATCAAAATAGGCAGTGTCACAGTCGGATCGTTTCAAATGTTATAGTTTAACAAAATTTTATTATTATTATTATTATTATTATTATTATTATTATTTACGAATGGAAATTGTCTTATACAAAAGATACGTTTTTTCGTGCCATTATAACTAAATTATCTTTTCCCTTTAAAGGTATAATGCTTTTTTTTCAGTTCCTCTTCCTTTTCTCTTCTTCTTCCTTTTTATTTTATTTTATTTTGTTTTATTTTCTTTGTTCTCTTTTTTCGTTTCGCAAGAAATCCTTCAATGGTCGAAATTACGTACTGGCTTCGTCAATGACCGTAATCGTTCGACTATTAGCGTTGGTAGGCTGACTTCCAAGGTGCCACTTGTTCGTATCGTTCGTATCTTCTTCCTGAATTGGTGAGTTGTTACCAGCCACTGCATTAGTACTACTACTACTCGTTCCTTGTTGGCCACTACAAACTGCTGTTGCAGTTGTTGTTGTTTGACCAGCCTTCGATCGTGCCAAGGACCATCTGCGACCTCGCCGGCCCATAATAATCGGCATTTCTGCTATAAGATTGTTCTCAAATTCAGAAAGCATGAGGTAGTTTTCAACCTTGTTGCACGAGGTTATGCAGTCACCGATGTAATCTAAATCTTCAAGAAGATTATCCGGCAAATCCATATCGGCTATACCTTCTTCAGAAATACACGTTAGTTCTGGTTTTTCTGTTCCCATAGCGTCAATCATATCACCTAATAAATTCATAATTTAAATTTAATTTAATAATCATTTGTTGCATTAATTAATAATAATTAATTAATAAAAAATAATTTGTTAATAAATTCAAATGTTTTTCTATTACGTTAATTTTGTATTAATTTGATTAACATGTTTACCGGGTGTCGGTCCAAGTTCAGCTCCTATGACAAGAGCAGCAGCTGCAGCACCAGCAGCTGCCACGTGGGTACCGTCATTTTCTTGTTCATGACTGAACGATGGTCTTCGTTGTTGAGGACAATTACCAAGAACGCATAAATGTTTGCTACCATTTGCTCTGGTATGTTTGTGTTTTGACAAATTTCGTCTATGAAGATCTATGAAGAATAAAGTAAAACTACCGACTAAAACGCAAGTCGAACTAAAGTAATAACCTGCTTTACCACCACAACCAACATTTATGTATCCTAAAAAAAACAAACAAAAAAGGATTACAATTATTTTATTAAAATGTATTGCTGTCGTTCAAAAAGTTTTTGCTAATTTATTAACACAAAATTTCAAATAATAACCGGGAAATTTAATAGCAAACGCAATGGCTTATTAGGAAAGTTTCTATATCATATTTAAAAATATTTCTTGAATTTATGAATATTTATCAATATATATTGGTACAAATTGTTTTGATGAGACAAGCAATTTTGTATCTAAATTTGTGTAATAATAATAAATATCTTTGTCAAGGAAATTGTAGATTTCAGCTAATTTTGATTATTACCAGAAATTGGCACACCAATGGCAATGGGTATAGCCTGAGAACATTGAACGAATCCCCAAGTTTTGGCAAAATTTCTGGCTCTCACCCTCTCATACGTATACATCTTAAGACTGTAATGATAGCCACCACAAAAGATGCCTGAAAGAAGAAGATTACCATTTTATTGCTCGTAAATGGATTCCAAGTGGTCCCTATTACGGTTACCAGATGTAAAGAAGGATGGTAAGAAGAGAACGGTAGGGAGGAAGGGATGGTAGGATTATCAACGATAATAACGAATTTTATTCATTGATCTGTAAAAACTGCTCATTCCGAGTGAAGTGTTCCACTTGACAAATAAAAAAAAGGGTTACGGAAGATGAATTCTTTTTTGGGTTTTTTACGATTGAACGTATTCGCAAAATATAATAATTCCGTTATACGATATTTTTTTAAAGATTCTAACGAAGACGATAAGAATTTCAGAATTTTACCGTAAATCCATGTGAACATAACGTATCCGTGATAATTTCCTTGAACAGCGGTCAGAGCAAGAATGCAAAGCCCGCATACGAATACAGCGGCTTGTGTAAGGTATTGCCTTGCAATTCTGCACTCGACATTTCGATGAACGACCAAAAGACCAAAGGCAACGCAGCCAAGGGTCCAAGCCAATCCGAGATAAGCTTGGAGTAATACAACGGTGTCACCGAGTCCTTCCTCTTCCGCTTGATGAGCCTACATACATTAAGAAATAAGAACCAATTATTATTACCTTGTTTAACCAGAAAAATTTGCAATAACTATAAAAATAAATGTTAACCAGATAAAATATCGGCGTGTTAATCCCGAAAGCTGATATTCCTGTTGAGACCAATAATATTCTCACGGTTTTACTTTTGAGAGTGCTAAAATCAAAGAACGGTGGCCTGTCGTCGGTTTTGTTTTTATCCTTAATTTTTCTCTTTTGATTCTTCAAATGTAATATTGCTCGACGTTGAGGATGATAAAGCGAGGCACTGCGATAAAATGTTCCTAAAATGAACGTAAGGAAGACAACACCTGTCACAGCTTGAAGACCCAGTCGCCAACCTATTTTGCTGTAACAATTATGAACATTTATCTATCTATCTATCTAGCTATCTAACTTTTCATATAATCTGATCTTCTTATTATTTAGATAAGTGTATTAGAAAGAAGAAAAGCAATTCACCTAATGGTGCCTTTTATAAAGGCTGACATTACTGCTATACCCAAACCACTTCCAGAAACGATGAAGATTTCAACTAGTTCTCTTCTTCGTTTGAAATATTGTGCTACCATTAGTGTACTGCAATCTCTTGTCATACTCACACCTATGCCTGTTAAAAAAAAGAAAAAAGAAAAAGTAGGTTTTAACAAATGTTGTGAATCATTGTTTTTTAAATGAAAGTTGAATTTATTTTAATTGTATGTTTTAAATATTGTAATTATTGAAACGTATCATTTGTTTGATTAGACTAGTTGAAAAATTAAATTAGGAGGAGTTTCTTGTAATTTTTTTGGTTTTTGTTTTTTTCTGTGCTAGTTTAGGATACGATTCTTTTACTCACTCACCCACCATGGTACCGTAGCTGAAGAACAATTGATGAAATTGCGAGGCGAAGGACGTGAAGAGGCATCCTAGTGCCGTAACGAGGCCACCCAAAACGGCCGTAACTCTGGTACTTTTTCTTCTACAAAAGGCTATCGTTACGGGTGACACCAACAAGGCTACGCCAGTGGACATTGCACCGAGCCATCCTGAACAAAAAAAAATAAAAATTCAATTTCGTTTGTACGTGTCTTTAAAAATTTGTTCATTGTTAAACATGACAAATCATTTTTAATAATACGTGAAATAACATTTACATATTTATATAAAGTTTTTTTTCCAAAAAACACTTAAGAAATCCAAGATTTGCAAATTTCATTCCTAGAAAATGTTACTTTAATTGATCATTATTAAATATAATTTTAAATCATATTTTATTAGCTAATAAAATGAAAAAAAAAAACAATGAAAAATTTGATAATTTTTCAAATTTAAATTGTTGTGATAAATTATATATTTTTGAACAAATAATTTATAATATTAATGTACGATAAAAATAATAGAAATATAAAATTTGTCCGTATAGGAAAGTTTAGAAAAATCGATGAATTACAGATGTTTTCGAGTATGTTTTTCAACAAAGTTCGACGTTCTCGATGTCAAACACATCGAAAGCTATTTCTTTCGGGTGTTCAACTCTGAGCTACTTCAATATTCTCCGCCATGATATTACATATATACTTTGGATCGATCTATTTATCAGAGAATACATATATATATATATTCAAAAATATTTGAAGATTTAGCTAGACGTGGGAGTCCAAAATTGATTCAACCTCGATCTACATATATATAAATTTATATGAAAAACAAACAAAAAATACACAATGCACACACACACACACACACACACCCATACACATACTAACTTGTACTTGTCTCTCTGACAATCAGTTAGAAAAGAAAAGAAAACCTAAATGCAAATTTAGAAAAAACGTCGTAAGATACGATCGAGTAGATCAATGATCTATGTTGCTCGTGAATGAAAAATTCAAATGTGTGTATGAAAAAAACGTGTAGAATATACGATGCCAGTAAAAATGTCAGCCATACACAATACAAGCACGTGTTTCAACAACGTATTCGTATGTAGACACACGAAATTGGAAATAAGTTCGATCTTTATGACAACTTCCTGGCAACTTGCTTCGACTTTTTCCATTTACTATATCGTATCAGTTTAAGAGGCCGGTGTATCTAACGATTATTGTATTATCTCTCTCTGTCTTTCTCATTCTCATTCTTTTTCTCTTATTTTTATTTCTAATCCATCCGCCTACGCGTTCGTGTTCTTAATGGTAAAATTAGGTAGTTCCTTTGATTCACGTTTTCTTTTCTTACTTTTTTCAAAATTAGAATAGAATTCTTTTTGTTGATCTCAAAACGGTCGTAAAAATCGAACGTGTCAAGTTGTTCTAATGTAAGAAACAGAATCGATTTAAATAGGAATAGATCGTGAAATACAATTTTAGAATTTTTATTAGATTATTTGTAAAGTCGTTTCTCGTTTTATCAATGGTAAAAAAGAAAAAAAAAGAGAGGATTTTTTCGTATTTAAAAGTTACAGAATTAAAGGTTGAATACAGAATGATCAATCGATAATTTTCAAAGCTCGTAATTTCAAATTTAAAATAAAACGAGTCTTAAGATATTTGAAAAAGAATGATCGATTTTTAATAATACCTGTAATACCTATGGTTCAAACCTATATAATTATAAGGAAACTATAAGACGATTATTTGAGAAGTGGTATAATAAATTTTTCTCTTTCGTTTCGAAGCGCCCAATATGATGAGGTCTCTCGCTCATCGATCAAATTCATGGTTGGTAAGTCCTTTTATTAATAATACCGAAGATAATCAACGCAGTACGAAGACAAAGTAGTAATACGAAGGATATAATTAAAAAAAAAAATCTTCTTCATCTTTTTTGTTCTTTTTTTTTTCATTACGGAAGATCAACGTTAAAAATTAATGTTTCTTCTTCGATCCAATGTACTTTATTTAACATTAGTGATATAACCTTGGACAGTTCTCTTTGATTTTCTCTTTTCTTCGAGAAGTTATGGCAAGGGTCATTGAGAGAAAATATTTTGATATCGAGAGCCAACGTATTGCGATTTATGATTTTTATGTATCTTAAATAATACTCGTGAATATCGATCACGTATGTGATCTGTAGTATATAAATAATATCAGTATATGAATAATGGTATACTTATATTCATTTATTTTGCAGTATTACAATTTTCGAATTATTTTTTCTTGTAAATGTAATTATTCTGTCATCACTAGGTTTAACACATTAACAAATAATATGAGTGCAAAATAAAAATTTTAAATAGGTCATTTACATGTATTGTTATTTATGCGTTTTCGATAATAGTTTGAAATTTGAATTTGAAAACTTTAATCTAATAAGTATAGAATACAGGTCAAGTGAAAATGAATTACATTTTTTAATGAACTGACCGAAATGATCGGTCGTTCATTAAAAACTGTCTTTTGGTCGAAACGTTAAACATATTTTATTTAAAAATGTAAAATACTGTGAAACTATACAGCACTATCTTATTAGATTCAAATATAAAGTCAAATAAATATGGTTATGAATAATCCCATATTTTTTATCTACGAAAAATTATGATAATATAATTTGTACAAAATTGAAAAGAAAAGAAAAAACGAAACAAAAATTCATATACACATAAAAAGAATAAAAAATAAAAGAATAATAAAAGATAGATAATAGAGATAGACGGAAATAGAATCCGAAAAACATGTCGAATCCATGAAGATATCATATCGAGAATATGTTCTACTTTATTCTATCGTACTTTTATCACGAATCATTTGCATTTCTTTTACCCACCTCTTTTTATTACTAACCCCTCTCGATAGAGAGGCATGAGGAATAGAAAATAAAAAAAAAAAATAATAAAAAAAAATGAAAAAAACAAAAACTGAATGGTTGATATTACGATTCTGTCCAGAGATATAACGCGTAAAGTATGAAATAGTTTGTCTACTAGGTTAAGGGGGTGGGAATGGATTGAGGAAAAAATGTAGAAGGAAAATGTTACTGAGAGTATAAGAAGAAGAAGAAGAACAATGAATTAGGTTTAATGAATTCGTAGGAAAACGTTCAAAATAAAATACCCTCTTTTTTACTTCCTCTTCTTTTCCTATTTGTTCATTGGTTCACAAATTGAGATCCTTGTATTTTTGAATAGTTTCATCTCATTTTTTTTCTCTCTCTCTCTTTCTCTCTTTTTTTTTTATAAGGAAAGAAAGAAAGAAGAAAAAAGAATATACACATAAATTTGGTTGACTTAGAGCTTACAATTAGTCGAATGAGAGGGAGAGTAGTTGAAAATTTTCACGTGAAGGTCAACGAACCGATCCTCTAAGAATGTTTCTTGTGCCAACTAGGAGTAACAGGATGCACACCAAGTTTCCAAAGGGTTTATAAGGATTCTATTTGGCAAGTGTATTCATGAAAGAGTTAAGGAGAGAGAGAGAGAGAGAGAGAGAGAGAGAGAGAGGGAATGAGAATAGTTTAATCTTGTTAGGACAATGACTTTTACCGTCACTTTCTTCAACTGTGAACTTAACCTTCGTAAGAAAGTTTTGATATTTTACTTTAAGACAAAGTCTAATTTGGGGTCTCTTTGTAATAATGCATTTGTTTAAAAGTTATTTATTTTTATTTTTTTCTTCAATTTAATTTTTATATTTATTCATTATTTTGTGAGATGTCAAGTGAATAATTCCAATTATTGTTTAATATATTTTGTTAATCCTTTATAATAATATTGCTTCATATCATATGCATATATACATACATTGCCTATCGTAGGGGCACTTAAAATTCTACTAATAGATGACAATTATTATCATAATAATCGACGGAGCATAAATTATCATATTATTAATAAGATTTCTATACTTTCTACGAAAAGCAAAGTGTGAATGCATGTAACAAAAGAAATATAATTGCAGGGGCATATTAAAATTTATTACTTATGTTATATACACAATGATTCTAAAACTAAAATTATTTAATAAAATATAAATTATTGTCTACTTATAGGCTTGATATTAATTACATATTAACATTATTGATATATATATCTATAGTAAATATATTAAAATATCAATGAAATAAAATGAGAAATGGATGAATGTATATGAATTATTAATTGTAAGACCGATAGAAACATCGTAAAGAAAAGTTTATCAAATTTATAGTTTTGACTTTAAAAATATTTGTATGAGTTGAGGAAATATTTGGTAAAGTTTGTATGCATGAGATCTTTCAAGGATAACATACCTACATTAAGTAAGGGTTGCCGAAATCGTTTTGTTCCATCAAGAATCAACCAGGCACCAACAGCACCATGAATTCCAGTAGCAAGAATCTGCACCATTACACCGGTAACAACGATGACCCAACCCCAACCACTTTCGGGATAGTAATGTTGTTTTATAGTATACCTGGCGATATATTTATAATATATATATGTACGTATATATTTTTACACGTTCTAAGAAAAATTTGTCTCTCTTTTGTAAAAGTAGATGAAAAAAACCAAAAAAAAAAGAAGAAGATTTTTACGCAAGACGAACACGAAACATTGCAAATTTTCGTTTACACGTGACTCCTTCGTTATTATAACGATGTGACTTTCTTTTCTTCGTAACGAGAGCGAATATACGACGCGTATTACGGACAAAACCTCGTGCTAGGCGATTAACATAATTCTTTCGAAACTCGACCGACACGTTTCGTGGACCTCTTATGAATTCTAACGAGATTTTTGTCGGCACTTTTGACGTATTATTACATTCGTCGATGCTCATTATACAATGATTCTTTTTTCTTCTTTTTTATTCGATAAGTAATGCAAATAAAATAATAGTATTTAGCATACTTATTTTATTAAAATTACATCGAGAAAAATAACATTTTAATAAGAAACCTAACGTGTTTTTTTTTTTTTTAAATTTATGCAAATACCTTATGTGCTTGTTATATTCAATGTGTTAATTAAATTTTTGTTTATTTTTTTGCGGAAAAGAAATTTAACATATATTTACAAAAATGATATTAATATATAATTAAATAATATAATATTTGTGTATTTTAATTATTTTAAATGTTTTTTTTTTTTTTACAAGAGAGATTTAACTCTTAAAGATTAACATTATTTTGATAAAAGATTAAAAAATATATATTATTACAAATAAATTCTTATTGATTCATTATAAATTTAATTATTTTATATCTATATATTATTATTAATATTTCATTTAAATTGAATTAGTTTTGGTTGAGTTCAATTTCTATTATTGCGAATGGATACAAGTTTGGAATTAAATGATAAGGATCAACTATTAAATCGGACCTGGGATCTCGATTAGGGTCACCGTCGATCCCTTTGACTCCTTCGCGAGCTGGCAAACACGCAACACCCTCGCACTCTCCTGAAAAAGATTGTTCACCAAGTTCACCGGAAGTTGCAAGCCCGCTGTCCTCAAAAGCGGGACTTTGCACGACAACATCCCTTCTAACACGTTCACGAGCCTTCATCACATACAACAATCCTCTTTCTCGTGACACATCGTTTCAACTCGATCGATCTTTTTCTTTTCAATTTTTTTAAGTTTCTTTTTTCTTTTTTTTTCACCTCGATCTCCTCCTCGAGATCTTTTATTACGATATTCTAATTTTACATCAGTACTATTACTCTTGTCCAACGATATTTTATTTCTGGTAAACACTATGTCATTCCCGTGATCGCGATATAGTTTTTATCTATAAAAGAAATTTATTTATTTAGGACATATTAGTAACATTTATTTTCCCTTATCACGATTTTTATTCTCTCGATATCTCATAAATTAATTGTTATAACAAATATTATATTATTTTGATATAATAATATTTAATCATAATTTTTGTTTTCTATAATATCAATTTCGTTTGTATTCGAAATTGATAAAATTGTACTAGAAAAAAAGTTGTATCTTATTAATTTATTATGAAATTATTTATTATCGAAAAACATATTAGAGAAATAGAATTTTATAATATAAAATAAAATAATTTGTTATTTCTATATCGAAAATATTATTTTCAATAAAAATGAAATAAGGAAATTTTATGCTATTACTACTACTACTACTACTAACAATATAAGTAAATGTAAGTTCATTTATTATTTCTGTCTTCAGGAAATAACGTAAATGTTATTACAGTCTATGATAGCTTGAGATAGTGTTTTTTGCGGCAAGTTTCTCGTTTTCGTTCGCTCGGATGGTTATGCATTATGATAAAAGCAAGGCAAACAATAGAATGAGAAAGGAAATGGAGGATCAGGAAAGGGATGAGACATACTTAGATCTGCGCGCGTTAAAAAAAGTAAGGAATGAAAGAAAGAAAGAATGAAAAGAAGGAAGGAAGGAAGGAAGGAAGGAAGAAAGAAAGAAAGTTAGGAGATGAATGAAAAAAAAGAAAATGAAAAGATGTTTTCTCCTTTCGAACTACAACCCCCTTGTCCATGCATTTGATTTTCTCAACCAACGAAATATTGCGAAGAAAACGATCCGTGACTGGGAAACATTTTATGCGATCATCTCAAGTCTCGTGATATTATGTCAACCATCTTTATTGAACTATTTATTATTTTTTTTTTTGCTTTTTTTTTTCTTTTTATTGTTAAATCGACATTAAGACATTCTAATATTTTGGGGAATAATTTTCAATCGATTCGAGATTCTCAAGTGATTTTGTTATTGACTCGTTTTATCGTAGAAAATATTAATCAAATGATTAATAGATCTTTTGATAAATTTGATTCGTTGTTTAATATTTTAAGAATATTTAAAAATAATTGACTCGTACTATCATCGATAATATTTATAAATTGATTTATAGATCCTCCAATGAGATAAAATACGTTTCATATCAGAAAACATTACTTAAATGATTTGTCGATCTTTTAACAAATTTGATCAATTGTTCAATATTTTAAATGTATTAGAAATAATTAATAAAATCTTATAACTGATTATATTTATATAAAAAATAAAATTATATAAAATTAGTCGTAAACGAGACAAATTCATTGACTTGTTCTATCCTAAGATCACTTAAACATTTAATTAAAATCTATAAATAGATTTTTTTATATTCGTTTACCTAAACCCTTAAAAATATACCATAATATATATATATTTCAACAAAATATTTCTATATAAAATACAATAATAATATAATGATCTCGAGGAAGAGGAGAAGATTAAACGTGAACCAAAAAATGAAAAAAAAAAAAAAAACCTTTTGAAAGATCGCACTTGGTATCAAAGTAAAAAGAAAAATAGAAAAGAAAACTAGAAAAGAAAATAACACAAGGTCGCGTTTAAGATTATTCGCGATTAAGATTTGTTTGAAAAGTTTTGACTATGTTTTTTTTTTTTTTTAAACTACGAGTACGATCAAAAAGGGTTCACGAAAGGCAAGAAGAGAGACCCGTTGCCGAACGTCGACTGGATTTCATCGAGATGGATCGGAGAAAAGAAGAGACGCGCGCTGAAGGAGTTTGAGCTTGCGTAGGGGAAGCCGATGAGCCAATCCCGATCGTTCTCTGACCTCGCCACGTGTTTTCACGGTCAATCCTTCCTGTAATTATGGTATCCTGATAATAAAAAAAACCTAAATAAACTTCTATAATTCCTTCTTTTCTTCTCTTTTTCTCTTTTTTTTTTTTTTAACAATTCTATTTATTTTCACCTAAACAAATTTAACTTCGTGTTTTTTTTTTCACCTCGTTTATTCTCATTATAATTTATCGTAATTAAAGATAAATATTTTATTTTAATTCTTTTTTTTTCATTTAGAACAATTTCTATCGCTCATTGTTAATATATGTTAATTTTATTTTTGTTAAAGACACGTAATTAAACAAAAGGATAAGAAAAGAAATTACCTTCGATAGGAATTTAGTTTTTGATGATTATTTTCTTGAATTATTTTTAAAAGAAATTTATTTGGTAAAATTTATTAAAACGATTGAGCATGTAATTTGATTTAATTTTATTTAAAATAATGTTTACAAAAAATTACTTTTATAACAAATATTTTTGTTGATAAACATTATATAATAAACTTTAGAAATATTTGTAAATCATTTTGGGTTAATTTACACGATTAGTAGATGGTCGACTATATTTAATATTTTGTAATAATTAGGAATGCACGATCAGCACCCTTTCCCACCCTTCTTCCAATTCCTCAACGTCCCTTTAGTTCGATCAATGAATCATATAACCTACTTGGATTTTAGATTACATTTTATTATCCCCTTTTTTTTTTATTATAGCAACTAATCAAGATCCCCTTTACACGACGAACGTTTTAATTACTCGAACATAAAATTGATTTTTTATTCTTAATTATAATACACGTGTCGCTAACTTTTCAGTATGGAATTTTTACTGAAAGGCTTTTAAAAGAAAGAAAAAAAAAATACTCAAAAGAAAAGAAAAAAATTGTAAAATTACGTTCGAAACGGGGTAGGGAAATATAATCGATATTAAGTGCCGGTTTTCTTGTTCAAAGCGATAATCGGGCAATCGTGAACGAAAAGAAAAAACAAGAAAGATAATAAAAAATTGGCAAATTTTTCGGCGATAAGCGATTTAAATTGCCTGTCGGCGGGTATTTTGTAAAATTATGTAAATTTGTACCAACGATCGCAAAATTACTCGAACCGAATTGGTAATTACAATGGAAAAGCTTAAGTATGACAAATTTGATAGCTATTTCATGAAAAAAAGGGCAAAAATGAAACAAAAAAAAAAATGAACAAGGGAAACAGGAATTTCTCTCCAAAAAGTTGACAATTTTCAGGTAGGTATAATAATTTAAAGATGACTTGGTGAATCGAACCGAGAGATACCTACAAATGTGGTGACAGAATCGATGAAATATCGAACGCACGCTTTCAGGCAAAACTTTCCTCGATTTTGTGCCACATAAGATGTCTTTTACTCAGAATTTCCGTTTAGATAATATATCGATAATCCTAGACGAATAAAGTCACGCAGTAAAATGTTCACTAAAATGTTATACATTTCTGTAAAGATATTTCTAAATACAATTATTATTACAATAATTAAAATTATTCTATTCGTCTTATAAAAAAAATCCAATGAGTTTCGTATAAATTTCGATCGAATTAATTAATCAAACTTTTGTCTACGCAAACATACAAATATAACAAAATTAATAAAATACACATATTATACGCGAATATGAATAAATTTTACAAAATTTTATTTTCTACAAAGTAATCCAAAATAATATTGTATTCTAATGCAGGATTGATTAATTTGTAATAACAAAAAAATAATAATACTAATTTTTTAAAATAAAATTCTATCAAATCGTTGCATAAATCAATAAATAAATATTACAAATAACGAAACGAGACGCGTTTTGAAATATTATAGGTAAAAAATGCATTAATTCGATATATATATATATATAAAAAAGATTACAATTTTTCACACGATAAACGTTCTTCTTTATATCCCAATAATAATATCTTCAAACAGGATACTACATTTACGAAAAGATTGTCTGACAACAAGGAAGAGCTTAGAAGGAGGATCAAGACAAATCCCAAGTGCATAAATATCAGTCCAAAAGCTTTACGTTTCTCGTTGTGCGAGCGAGTATAATCTATAAAAATGAAAGAAAAAGAAAAAGAAAGAGAAAAAGATGTTAAGTTAGGATAGAAGGAATGAAATTATTTTTATCTTCCAGTTTAGTACGTTGCAGCTGTCGAATCGAAAAGGTATTATAAATCTTGTACCTTTCGTTTTGTATTTATTTTTCCGTTTCACTCTCTATTTCTTTCTTTTTGATTTCTTCTTCTTCCTTCCTCTTTCATAAGGATCGCTTTTCTTTTCACTTGAACATTTCCAACTCCTCCTAAATTGATCACGAAGTCGTGGGCGACGTCGCGACGTCTATTCTGGTCGAGCTATCTCGTTTCTTTCGCTCGGTTAATCCGCAAATTTTGTCGAGCCGGTGTAAATTTTAACTGACTGAAGAGTCAAACAAGAGAAAAACAAAATCTTCAATGAAAGAAGAAGATTGATTTGTATTATTCCTACCTTGACCCATTGCTGATCTCTCAACATTTTTTATACGATAAATCTTACACACGTTTTACGATAACTTATATTAATAATTATATAACATTAGAAAAATCAAAGAAATTATTAATTACTTTTAATCAATTAAATGAATATTTAAATGTTTAAAAGTAATTGTAATGCAAATGGATTGTAGGATTAGATTGTTAAGCTATTGTAAAGGGGATCTGACCTCAAAAGCTCCTAAAAGTAGAAGAATAGTAAAAACAGTTTAATATTTAAATGTTAATGAAAATATTTAAATAGTATTTGAGTTAATATATTAATGATTGTATTTATTAAATAATACAATAATATTTTATTCGATTTATAATATATTAATAATCGTGTTATTAAAAATGAAATATAATATTTTTTCAATATTGAAATATTCATTTAATTGTTATACAAATAATATCACAAATTTGTGTTCTATCTTTTTAAATTTACTTCCTAAAATAAATTTATTGCAACGAAATATATTTCGAAACAATACGAAGGACAATTGTGTAATCAAGGATCGAAAAAAGGAAGAGAAAATATTAAAGAAAATAAGATATCGTAGGATATCGTTTGATTTGATGAACGATCGAATTTCGATGTCTTTGCTTTTTCTTATAAACCAATTTCTTCCTATTCGATAAATTCTTTCTTCATATTACCGAGAGAACCAAACATTCTACGATTATCAGATACAGATCGTAAGATGTGTATATCACCTCTCTCACCCTTTCAATAATCATTGATTTATCGAGAATGAGATTCGCTAATGAAATAAAAAAAAAAAAGAAAAAGAAAAATGATACAGAAACGTGACTATCTTCTTTAATATTCAGTAGTAGCAGTGTCAAGGTCCTATATTTTTTTTTTACGACCTCGGAAGGTGAATTCATCCGTCTGATACTTTTTTTTTTCCTAACACGAATATAGTAAATGACTGACACGAGACCGTAATCTCATTCTTGTTTCATTTTGACTAAAGTAAAGTGAAAGATACGAAGTTCTCTTGACGCGAGAACAAAAAAATCAAATGTTTATATGAATATTTCAAATTGATATAAATACAATTTTGTGTCTCGAAAACTTAAATGAATTTAATTGTAAGATCGAGAAAGATTCATTTTTTAGCAAGTTTATAAAAGCCTTTTTCTTAATTTTA